GCAAAAAAAAAAAAAAAGAAAAGAAAAAAAGAAAAAAGTTATAAACACGGACCTTATACCTTTGACAAAAATTAACTCAAAATGGGTCACAGACCTAAATGTAAAACACAGAACTATAAACTTCTAGGAGCTAACGCAGGAGAAAATCTAGGTGAACTTAGGTTTGGTGATGACTTTCTGGATACAATGACAAAAGTACAATCCATGAGAGAAGAAAATTAATTAAGTTGGACTTTTTTTAAAAAACTGAAAACCTCTGCTCATGAATGGAAAAGACAGGCCACAGACTGGGAGAAAATATCTGCAAAACGCAACCCGATAAAGGGCTGGTATCCAGAATATACAAAGAAACATATCAGTAAGAAAATATCGAATTAAAACTCATCAATAATAACCCAATAAAAAAATAGGCAAAAAATCTGAACAGAGACCTTATCTAAGAAGATATACAGATGGCAAATAAGCATATAAAATATGCTCAATATCATAAATCCTTGGGGAGTTACAAATTAAAACAATAAAAGGGGTAAAAAAAATTCCCTTACACACCTATCAGAATGGCCAAAATCCAGAACACTGACAACACCAAATACTTGTGAGGATGTGGAGCAACATGAATTCCCATTCATCGCTGGTGGGAATGCAATATAGTACAGCCACTTTGAAAGACAGTTTGCAGTTCCTTACAAAACTAAACATACTCTTACCATTACACCCAGCAATTATGTTCTTTGGCATTTACCAAAGGAGTTGAATACTTATGTCCACACAAACCTCATACAAATGTTAGCAGTTTTATTCATAATCGACAAAAACTGGAAGCAACCAAAATGTCCTTTGATAGGTGAATGGATAAACAAACTATGGTACATCAGACAATGGAATATTATTCTGCGCTAAAAAGGAATGAGCTATCAAGTCATGAAAAGATATGGAGGAACCCTAAATGCATATTGTGAAGTGAAAGAAGCCAGTCTGTAAAGGCTATCTAATGTATGATTCCAACTATGTGACATTCTGGAAAAGACAAATCTATGGAGACAGTAAAAACTCTGTGGTTGCCAGGAATTAGGGGGTCGAGCTAATGACTAAATAGGTGGAACACAGAGGATTTTTAGAGTGATGAACGATTCTGTGTGATACTGTAATGGTGGATGCATGACATTATGCATTTGTCCAAACCTATACAATGTACAACACCAAGAATGAATCGTAATGTAGACTATGGACTGTAGTTAGTAATAATGTATTGATATTGGCTCCTCAATAATAAAAAACGTACCAAGCAATGCAAGATGTTAATAGAGGAAACTGGGAGGGAGGTATCATAGAACTGATACGAGAACTCTAAATTATCTTTCCAATTTTCCTGTAAATCTAAAACTGTTCTAAAACATAAAGACGAGTAATTTGTTTCCTAACATCTAGCTCAAAGGAGAGGACAAAGTGAGGTAAAATTGTCAGAGAAAGTATCTTGAAAGAACTGAGACGTTAGTTAGCTGGGTCCTAGAGGGCATGTACGATTTCTAGAGTAAGAAAGGACAAGGCATTTCGGCTAGGATTGAGGCATGTAAAAGACCCAGAGGGCTCAACTTGTGAAGGAGCAGGAAATAACATAATAAATCAATGCAAAGACAACAGGCAGCAATTTAATGGAAGCTAGGGGCCAAGGCAAGGCTAGAAGTGCTTGAAGGATTGTTCCAATACGAATTAAATATAGGCATGGAAGCAGAGTTGACCCAAGCTGGGTTCTCAGCACATATTCATTCATTCGATAAATATTAAGTAAGTACCTACTATGTTCCAAACACTGTAGTAGGCAATGGGGACAAGTAGTGAATGAAAGAAATAAAAATCTCTGTTCTCACTGAGTTTCAGTTCTAGTGAGAGGAGACAGAACCTGCCTGGTGTTTTCAAGAAACAGCGAAGCAACCAGTATGAGTGGAATGGAATGAAGGAGGGAGTTAAAGATGAGATAGAGGAGATAATAGAGGCCAGTACCTGCAGGGCACTGAAGCTCAAATAAATAAGGACTTTGACTTCTACCCTAAGGCATTTAGGGAGCAATTGAAAGGTTCTCCTCTCTTCTGTGTTGAGAATAGATAAGAGTGGCTGCAAGGAGAACAACAAGTTGGTGCAATAATAATGTAAGAGAGGATGGGGGCTTAAACCATGGTTTTAGGAGTGCAACTGGTGAAAAACAGATTGTGGATTCAAAAGATTTCCTGATAGATTAGATGTGTGAGAGAAAGAGAGCGTCGAAATGAGTCAGTTTTAGGCCTGAGCAAGTAACTCGCAGAAGGGGTTGCCAGTGACTGAGAGAGAATATGGGAGAAGCAGGCTCACAAGCAGGGCCGAGCCCATGTCTGAGTTCAGCTGAGCTGTCTTGAAAGGGGACATTTCCAGAGCTAGAGATGGGAGCGTGGCTGGGACCCAGAGTTAAGTGGACAAGACTGAGCCACAGTACATACAGGTAGAGAGGATAGCATGTTGGTTCACCAAACATTTCCTAAAATCAATCAGTGTGTATGTACCAGAGACACAAAGGTAGGTAAGTAAGACATCTTTCCTGCCGATAAGGAACTCAAAGTCCAATGAGGGAAACAGAAATATAAATAAGTGATTCCAGCATCATAGTAGAGGTATCCAACATTTACTGAGTCCCTGCTATATGCCAAGTAGTACAGTGAGGAAGCAGGGGATATGGATAAAGTTCTATAAGAGCCCAAAATAAATTCTTGCAAAGGTTCTTAAAGACCTTCACAAAGGTTCTCACCACAGTGTGACATCAGGGAGTTGATAATAATCTAGACACCCATCACTAGGGAAATGTATCACTAAAATCTATGGAATACTCAGCAGCAGTGAGAAGCAAAAAAGAAAAAAACAAAAACAAAAAGCAAACAAACAAACAAACAAAAAGGTGTACACACAGCAATGGGGATTAGCTCACAAGAACGCAGTGTTGAGTGGAAACAGTCCAATGCCATCTCTAAATGTAAAAGGCATATGCAAAACGCTGCATGCCTTAAATTATCAAGGATCTGTATCAAACATGTTGCAATTGATGTCTAGCAAAAGAATGAGCGTGGGGATTGAGGGAAAATAATATGAACAATATAAAATTATATAAATAGGGGGCCTTGCAGGGACTGATGATGACAATGTGCTGAGAACTGAGGAGCAAAGTTAACTCAACTCTCTGCACCTGAGGTAAATAACTAGCTAATAGGAATTCAGCAGATAATCTTGAGAAGGGTATTTCTGGGGGCCAGGAAGGGTGTGGAGAGACATGAAGGCATGAAAGTGCATCAGAGTTTCAGGGAACGAATGGCACCCGGTTTAGTGCGGCTAGTAGTGGTTGTGAAGGACTGGTAATCTTTGAAAGCCTTGAGTAAAATGAACAATAACACGTGGAAGGCATTATCATTCTTACCAAACTGCCCCTTTCGCTCCAGTGGGGTTAAAGATCATGCTGTGTGCCTATCTGGCCTATGGTGAGATTTTCCTTTAGCCCTATTGGGGTCTTTGCATCTTGTGACTCCTCCAGAAAGCCTAGTCCAAAGGGTCATCCCTGTTTACTGGGGCCTCAAGGAATGTGCCCCTTGATCTGCTGCTTTAATCTTGGAGCTCTACCAGTAGTTGACGCTGCTGCTCTGGCTAGGAATGGGGTGGGAAGGGAACTGGAGGTCCAAGGATGCCTCTCATTCTGAGGCACCTGCCTGGGGCAGTTCACTCTGCCTCCACCAACTCAGTGCTGCCAGTTAACTCACTGGTCACATTCCAGCAGCAGGAGTCATTGCTCGGCTGACCACCCCTCCCCCACCCTACAGTGGGCCCTGTGCCACAGTCATAGGTGTACCTATCTTTCATAGCCCTTATTACAGTTAGAACTCCACATTAAATTTTCTGATCATTTGATTCACGTCCATCTAGGCCTCTAGGGTCCAAGTTCAATGCTGACAGTCTTTTTTTTCTTCGCCAAGGTTCAACTAGCTCTTGGCACAGTGCCTGGTATATGGTAGGAGCTCAATAAACTTCTCAGTTGGATATAAGTGTTCCAAAGGAAACCTAGCTCAAGGTGGATACAGCATTACTGCAGAAGCAGAATGAGAAAGAGTTGGGGTTTGTTCTTCTGTGGAGGGTAAAAGGGCGAGAGCTGCAAGGACACAGGTGCGCAGACCTCTGCAGATGGGTCGCCTGACGGGCCTCTGGTATGGGGTGGGCCTAAGTGAAATAGTAGGGAAATAAACTGAACAAGTTAACAAGTGTTTAACACTTTTTTATGTATGTCAAGTAAAACTATGAAACTGAATTGAGGGAAGAGAGATATATGGATCTGTGTTGGGTCTGAGAGAGGACTAACATTTCCAGAGGTCCGGGCACAATCCATCGCCCCTCAGAGGACACAGGCTGTCGATCCACGGGACAGCTCAAAATCTCTTGGGGAGAGGGCGGCGTTACTCTCACCTTCTGCCTCTAAGGGTCACACAGGCCTGGGTCGCCGTGGTTGCCACTGTTACTAGTTCACAGTCTTGATTTCTTCCATCTAACTCTTCACCGTTACTCTTGCCCCCACTCCAGCTCCACCCGAATCAGGCTCTGCCTCACTTGAAAAGAAAAAAAAGCCCTCCAAACCAAGCTAGCCAGGACTCGGATAAGTGAATGCACTCGAACATTACGGAGGGCCCTTTCCCACGCCTATGCTTGCGTCTGCCCGTCTACAGTAATGGGCACTCTCGCCCTCGCCAGGCGACGCCAGGCGACCTGACCTCTGCCAGTGGTACGACCTGTGGCCGCCCTTCCCGCCTTCTCGCTCTCCTCCAAGTCCATGCACGCCGAGCCCGCGCGCCTTACGTTGGGCCCGGCCTCCCGGCCGAGTCTCAACAGCGCGCATGCGCGCGCTCCAGGCCCGCGCGGAGAGAGAGGGCGGGGCTGAGGGGCCGAACCCGCGGGGGGGAGGGGCGGCGTCGGTCACGTGACGAGGTTTCAGTGTTTACACGCGGAGCGGCCAGAGCGTTCGGCCTCAGTCAGGCGCTCGCCTCCGTTTCGGTTTCACTTCCGGTGAGGGGCCGCCTTGGAGCGGGTGGTGAGCCAACGGCGAGCGCAGGCGGTGGCAGTGACGGCGGCGCTGCTGCCGGGGGGCGTGCGGTAGCGCTGCGGCTGGGCCTCGAGCGCCCGCAGCCCACCTCTCGGGGGCGGGCTCCAGGCGCCAGCAGGGCTGTCGAGAAGATGGAGGAGCTGGTGGTGGAAGTGCGGGGCTCCAATGGCGCTTTCTACAAGGTACTTGGCTCCAGGGCAGGCCCCATCTTCGCTCTTCTTTCCCTCCCTTTTCTTCTCGGCCTCGGAGGGTGGCAGGCCTGGGGCCCTCTTCCCGAGCGTCGCACTCGGGGTCCAGGGCGCGCGAGGTGGTATGTTATTTGGGAGGGAGGGACCGTAGTTGGGCCTGTAGGAAGCCCCTGGAGCTCCTCTGCCTCTCCTGCAAGAGGCCCTGGCGCCTATCGGAATGAGAAGCAGGCAAGGAGGAGAGGGTGCCCTTTCGGGGGCCGATCCTCGCTAGGGAGAGCTGGGGATGGGCGAGGGCCGGCGGCAGGTACGAGATCGAGATCCCGGCTGGAAGGGCCGGTATCCGCGCGAAGTGACGGCAATGGCTAATTTTTCTTTTCCTAAATATCCTCTCCCAGTGGGATTCGGGCCTGACGTGTGGGTAGTTGGCGAGGAGCGGGGGGCGCTTCCGTCGAGCCGCCTCCTGCCTTGCAAAGAGGGTTTGAGATCTCCTTTGGGCTTCTGTTTTCCGGTCCAGCATTGGGACTTCGGAGAGCTCCACTGTTCTGGGCAAGGGGTGTGAAGAAAGAGTAGTAAGAAGCTGTAGTCAGTACCAAATCACAATGGCAACTGATTTTTAGTGCCCGCTCTTTGTGGATTTCAGAAGAGATACTAGATCCAAAACTTTCAGGAAGACACTGACATATCCGAGTAATGCGTTAAAGAAGTTGGTAATCTTGAATATTCGCGGCCCCCCTCCCTTGTTATAAATGCGATCAAATTCAGAAATACAGAAGCTTCGGGGTCTAAAAACATTAGTAACTCTGCTACTTGAAAACCAAATTTGGAACTCTCCAAAGACCTGAATGTATGCTATGAAATTTCAGGAAATTAATATTACTACTAGGGAATTTTTAAAATTGAGCGGAAATAATTGTTTTGTGCTCCAAGTACTAGACTATCTTCTCTGTGCATTGTTGCACTGGACTGTATTGTTGAGGTTTTAAATAGGCACGTATGGTTTTACTGTGGGTTTTTCTTTTTTAAGTTAGACCACTGCAGATCAACTAATATCTTACATTTTCAAAAAGAGGATTAAAAAATATTTTGATGTATCAGTAGTGCATCCGTGGGTACATACTATAGAACTAGTGATCTATAAATTCTTGTTTCCTTTTCAGTGTCCCCACTATAACTTCTCCAAGTAGTATCTCATCTTACTACAGTCTTTTGGCCATAGGAGGTGCGAATGGAAGGAAGCATGGAAATTTATTGTTGCCATTGTCCAACACTATTCTTAAATTTATTATGGGATAAGTTAAACATTTCAAATGACTCCTTTCACCAATGGAAAATATACAATTGACTTAACTATATATGTGTTTACTAATTTTATGTAACTATTTGGAAGTCAACATACTTCATAAGTGAATAAACTTATGTGAACTGTCTCATACTTCTAGAAAAAAAGATGAAACGTTTTGCTGTAGGAGGAAGAAATAACCCAGCATGTATGTTCTTAACAGTCTCACTGATATAAAATTATTTCAGTTGACTCTGCAGTCAAAATTTGGGTTGCATTTAGTTTGTGTAGAATTATTCTGGTTCCAAGACTGGTAATTTCGCTCACTAGATTTGTGGCACTGTTAATAAGTATGAGCAGGGGCTAATGGTTGAACAGTATTCTAATCTGTGGTATTAGCTTCGATTGGATACCACTCTTAGTGTCTTTTAGTGGAGTTTGCTTGCTGTAGAGAGCAAGGAACACATCCTGGTCTTGAAAGATTTATTGTTCTCTTCTAGCAACCTATGATTTACTCTCATGATTTTGCTCGCAAACTGATTGGAATATAATAAATGCCCTCTATCTTTGCTATTAATCCTCCTGTTTTTGTTTTTTAGCAAAGGTGCTTAATTTGAAGGTGAATAAAAAGAATGGATTATCCCGTAGTTCCTCGAGGGGAAATGTGAAACTTGAACAAATGTGTGTAAAGAAATTGCTGTTGTGTTTATTTAATTAGAGTTATTTTTAAGAATACCTCAAATGGTCTGTATCAATAGAAAAATAATTTCTATAATGGAAAAAGTTTAAATTTTTATTGGACTCAATATTGCTGTGAGGTATAAAAGTAAAGCAAAAGTAAACTGACTTGCTTGTCTAGTGGGATGGACAGAAAAGATGGAAATAAAGACCAATAAAAAATGAACTATTATGGACAAATGTTATATTTATGAAAAAATGTTACATTTATGAAAAAAATAGGAACCAAGGTCATAAAGTTGATAGAAAAACCTTTAAAAACTAAACAGACTTTGATTTGTCTAACAGAATTAACAATTCTGTTAATTCTGCAAGGGACAATTCTCCATCTTCCGAGCACATGGTCCACCCTTGCGATATAAACTGGGTAGAGTATATGCTGAGAACAGTTGGACTCTTTCTCTAAAAAATAACTCAAACTCAGTATTTGGAATTAATAGAATCATGAAACCTAAACCCTAAGATTGTAACAGCTCATTCTATTTTTCCCTCATGTTTATTTTTAAAAACTTGAAAGTTCGATTTAGTAATTGTCACAGCACTGCTGTTATGCTTAGTTATTTCTTTGCCTTAGAAAAAGTCATGTGTACAACTTATAGAGCCTTATGTTATTTAAGACATGAAGACACTTGAATTTTACCTCACAAAATCTTTACAAACCATTTCCTAAATGAATAATGTTGAAATAAGGTCTTTGTTCTAGAGGCATCTGCCCATTTTTTCGATTTAAATACAGTTGCCTGTGTCTGTTACCATTTTTAAATATAGATTCAAAGATGCGAAATATTCAGCCTTCTATCAGCTTCCTTTTCATTAACACTTACACTTGGGCATATTGTAATTCTTCATTTGAATGCCTCTTAAGGAAAGGTAAAGTTAGAAATCTTTGCTTTTGTTGCGTAGGGAGTATAAGAACTAAAGTATTCAAAAGTTAGACTGCATACACACAGGAAAATGTATAACTAGTTTAATGTTTTTCTCTCTGTGTTGGCCTTGGCTCAGAGGGAACCAGAAAGAGTCCGTTTGTCTCAGGATTTTTAATAAATACCCAAGTGAAATCAAGTATTCCTGGACATGCACTGTGGTTGGGAGAGTTGTTGATGAGTTTTATCATACTTTTCCCTTCCCGGTGTTCATTCCTCATGTTTCATGCCCACATACAAAGGGTGACAAAGCGATAACTCGCTTTGTGTATGAGGCCTTGAGTTTGAATCGTGTTTTATCACATTTCGTATATCCCTAATTCTTTGTCTCTTACAGGTTTTGTTTAGGACAATTATTTTGCAATGCTCTTAAGTTTTCTCTAATGAGAATTATCACTGCAGTACATGTGCTGTCTTCAGTGCTAACGTAGTGGTTGTGTCGAGTGGTGGTCGGGCTTACACCGACTCTCTACACAATAATCTCTCTTGTGACCAGCGACTCGCATTTGTGAGAGAGTTTACTGAACTAAGAGGTCTGAGGTATAGTGGGAGGAGTAAGCTCACCAAATCGGGATGGACTTCCTTCTTAGTTTCATACATTCTAGTAACATTTGAGTTGGATTTCTAGTCATTACACACTTTAGTAAGTATGATTTTGAGATTGCCTCTTTGGCCCATTTGCCAGTAAGTTGAGATCCTATAATAATTTTTTTTTGATTTCCTGTTTATTCCCCTTGATGAGGAGCCTCTGTCTTTAGCTGAACTTTAGCACCTTTCTCAGAACCCAAAGATTTTCATCACTTTTTTTTCCTTCTTAGAGTCTAAATAACCTTTTAGTATTCAGTATCTTTGAGTAAACAGCCTTTTCTTTTCCTGTCTCAATTTTTAAATCTTTAAATGTGCTTTCATTGAGATGCAATTGTCTCATTATGGTTCTGCATTATTTATAAAGTATGCCCCTCTCTGCTCTACCTCTCAGACATTTGCTGGGCACTAGACACGTGTGATTTCCTTACAACAACCTTAGAAGGCAGGCCCCTTCCCCCTGTATCCATTCCTGACTTCTAGATGAGGAATCTGAGGCCCAGGGAGCACTTCTTGGAGAGTCCCACAGCTGTAATGTGGTAGAACCAAGATCTTAACCCTAGGTCTCATTTGCAGGGAAACTTAACAACCAAGTTTACTGACTCTTAGAAGAGCCCTGGTGTAGCTCCCTTTGTGTATTCACACAAACCCATTCAGTCTCTCTTATTTGGTAACCTCAGGAATTGCTCGATGTAGATAGGTTAGGGATCACAAGAGAATGTAGTTCTCCAAACTGGTGGTGGGCGGGGGATAGTGCTCTGGAGGTTGGCAGGGAAGAAGGAGTATGAGTGTTGGGGTAAAGGAGGGGCAGGGCCAAAAGGAGGGTTATTGGAGAAAGTGTAATGAGAAGCAGGAAGTGACAGTTTAGTAAAAGACCTTAGAAGTCGTCATGTGAGTGCAGGCCAGAAGCAACTATTGAGTGTCTTTTATTGCATTTGTTACAGCAGCAACGAGAAAAGGTATTACATGCCTTCTCTATTCACTTACTATGCAAACGGTGACCAAAAAATGACTGATTTTGGAACAATCATGCAAACATCCATATAGAGATAAGCCTCATTAATTCGAAGGCAGTGGCCCTGGTAGGCTGTGATGATTACTCACACCATTCTTCACACTACATCCGGAATTGCTTTCAGAGCCTTTGAAAGCTTTTTTTTGTTGTTTAATAGTCACAGCAATTGCAGATCTTCCGCCTTTGAGGGAACGTTTGATTTAAGAAAATAGTCAAGTGTGAATGAGCATGATTAAACTGAGCAGTAAGTTTGGCAAATAGAAAAAAATATATAGCAATAAAGTAATGAGACAGGTTTTTATGGTGCTTCTAAGGTGGGTTAGAAAACAGTCCCCAACATTTGTAAATGTTTTTAAATCAGTGTCATCCAGCAGAGCTTTTTGCTATCATGGAAATGCTCTCTACCTGTGCTGGCCACTGTAGTAGGCACTAAGCCATGTGTGACTTTTGAGCATTTGAAAAGTGGCAAGTTTGACTAGGAGACTGATTTTTTCATTATGATTAATTTAAATATAAATAGTCACATATGACCAGTGGCTGGTAGACAGCACAGTTTTAGACAAGGGCAACAATTGGAAAGACACCCGATTTAATGAGAACAGTTCACTACCCAACGATAACAAGATTCTCTTAGCTGACAAAAGGACTTAACATTTTCAGCATATGATATATGGTAAGGAACTAGTATTACAGTTGACCTTTGAACAACAACATGTTTAGGGGCACCCTGCCCCACACATACATGCAGTTGAAAATCTACATATAAATTTTGACTCCCGCAAAACTTAGTTGTCCCTCAGTGTCCTTGGGAGATTGGTTCTAGGACTCCCCGCGGATTCCCAAATCCTCGGATGCTCAAGTCTTACTTGTAAAATTGCATAGATCAGTGCATACAGTCGTCCTATGCATCCACCGACTCAACTGGGGAACGCAAACAGTTTAAGAATTTATTGAAAAAATCCTCGTGTGAGTGGACCCACGCAGTTCAACCCCATTTTGTTTGATGGTCAACTGTGCTGGCAATGCATGCATAAAACTTTAGACAAGGGTGAAGACAGAGGCACTGGTCCTTGGTAAATAAGAGATCGCCTTCTAATAGGAGTCTTGATTTTAGTCCTTAATCTAATCCCGCCCCCCAAAAGCAGATTGTTAATTTGGTATTACTGTCTTGTGAAGAGAGAAATGGGGGAGATCTGTTCTTCTCATTCTTCCTAATTTTTGAGATTTACTTTATAAAACTAAAAGCAACCACTTCCTGCAGTTTTAACTAAAAATCAAGCCTTTCTGCTCCTGAAGTAATAGCGAGGCAAGCAACCCCTTAGAGCATTGGGGACATGCACCCTTAAGAAATCTAGTATATAATAGTCAGTATTAAACTAGAGTTCTCAAAATACACTGTGGTAAATGTTCATGATTTAAATATAGTTGAGGAAAAACAAGCAAAATCAAAAGGGTAGGAAGAAAATGAGGATGTCCCCCCTTTTTAAACTAGCAACTAGAACAATATGTACACATGCTTCACTTAAAATAATAATTTAGCCATCTCGGGTATAGCAGAACACTTGGATTCCATCATAGTCCACCTTGGTTTTACAAGTAAACTTCCTTTAGCATAGCTTTGGTTTTATTCTTTTAAGCATAGCTGTAAAGGTTTGGTGTATCTGCTTATGAAGCTTCAATATAAATGTTTTCCAGGGACCTGCCTCACCTACCGTTGTTTTTCTTAGGAGCAGCTGATTAATATTTGGCATTTGGGGAAATTTCAGCTTTTTAAAAATTCTTTAACTTTGGGCCTTTGAAGACATATTTACCAAGATATTTGCATTGAATCGTTTAACAGATTTTTGGACACCTGCTCTATACCAGAAATTGTGCCAGTTAGTGAAGATACAAAAGTTAAATAAAGAATAGTATTAATCCAAACTAATTATCTTCTTAATATCCTAAATCTTCAAGATTTACTGTGTTTTCTTCTCAGGGTTACATAGTTCTGGCTCTTAACATTTAGATCTGCGATGCATTTTTTAGTTGATTTCTGTATAGGATATGAGGTAAGGGTCAACACTTATTCTTTTGCACATGGATAATCAGCTGTCCCAGCACCATTTGTTGAAAACACTTCTTTTTCCACTGAATTGTCTTGGCTTCCTTATCTACAATGGATTTATTTCTACTATACTCCTTCTTCTCTAGGTCTAAGCCTTTGTTCCTGCTGCTCTTTAGGCTTAGCTTGTGTCCAGATCCTCCCCTCCCTTTTGTTGGGCTAGTTCTTCCTCAGTCTTTAAAGTTTGATAAGAACCTCACCTTCCTGTCTGTCTTCCTTGATCAACATGCCACCCTCTCCAGCACACATACCTTTCCCCCTAGGCTAGGATAGGAAGCCCTTAGGCAGGGATCCACTTAGCAATCATTCATCTGCCTTCCTAGGCACTCTGAAGTCCAACAGTATAATAAAATAAGGCTTATCTCCACCTTCAGGAAGTTTACATTTAGTGGGAAAATGGACAATAATAATAGAGTGAAGCACGTTTATACTACTGACAAGCATAGGAATGCAGAGGACAGAATTTAACCTAGTCTCCTGGGTTTTGTCATAGGAGATGACGTCTGAAATGAAGCCTAAAAGACCAATAGGAGATAGCTAGGTGAAAAGAGGGGAGAGACGATAGGCAAGCAGGAATAGCATTTATGAAGAGAGGCCCAAGTAGTTTAGCACTGTCAGATTACAACCTTCAAGGATATGAAAGATGAAGCTTTGAAGAGATGAGCAGTGGGACCAGATCATGGTGGGCCTTTTACAGCCAGAAAAGGAGTTTGGCCATAATCCTTGCAGGTAGAGAGAAACATGTACAGAACAAATTTGAATAAGCCGCTTAAATATCTCAAGCCATTTTAAAATAAAGTAAGATATAAAGCCCCTTGGGTTTCTTGATACTTTATCATACTCCTCTAATTGTCAAAACAAAAGCAAAACCTCCTTTCTTGCACCTGTTAAAAACTTAATTTTATGGAATTATGGACAGCATGCTGATTAAAGAATTCTTGGTAATTAGCTATTACTTTTGTTATGTTTTTCTGCAGATTACTAATAATTGCGTCATCAGATTTAAAAGATTTAAACCTCTGTACTTTATATTAACTTTTTTCCTCCAAGTGCCTTTGAGATTGGGAATTTAATTAAACTCTCATAATTGGACTTTTTACTGGTATTAGCAGCATATTGTTTTTAAAGAAAATTTTAATGTACGTGTATATATATATATGTATATTTGTGATTATGTTTAGTCATTTACTGTTTTATATTCCTAAAATTTTATTGAGGAGAAAAAGATAGGTTCTAACAGATCTATACTGGCTGACATACAGCTCTAGAACAAGCCAGTAATTCTAGCCTAAAGTGTACCTCCAGCTTTGCACTCACCACCTGCATTGTAATTTTCAATTTACTTGTTTCCACCCCTCTCTCGTCTTCCCCCTCCTCCTCTCCTATTTTAGATGCTGAACTCTAGAGCAGTTTTTTCTTGTTTTGTTTTAACTAATCAATATTCCTAGGGCCTAGCACATAGTAGGTGGCTAAAGATAGATGTGATTCTCACAGAATTACACACTTTCAAAGTTCCATTTTCTTCTCAAATATAAAATGTTTGGTATCTGTAAAATTTAAAAACAAATGCTCTTTAAGCTTAGAAGTTAATTTAACTTTATTTTCACAGGCATTTGTAAAGGACGTTCATGAAGATTCAATAACAGTTGCATTTGAAAACAAGTAAGTGTCTTGATATAATTTTAGTGTTTGGATTCTTTACTATTTTATGCTAACTATTCTTTTTACTCCTCATTTAAAAAAAAAATTCAAGTCTAGTTTGAGTGTTTTTCAGGAACGGATCTTCATGTTACCTACCAGGAAGTTCCTGAACAACTCAGTATTAAACCAGTGGAAAGATTGTTCCTGCTAATGACCTCAGAGATACCTTTTGTATAATCTTGATCCTGACATATCAGTTTCCTTGAATGTAAAGAAAGAAACCAGATTCTAATGTGTTAGTAACTGAGATTTTGAATAGGAATATTTGTAATAGTTAAAAGATGAAAATGAATAGAATCATAAGTATTGGTAAAAATGTGAGTTTTGTAACAAATCTAAAATCAGTAGTTTTAGTTTTCTAGTATATTTTATTGGAAATAATTGTGTTCACCCATTAATTTGTTTTTTATCTGTTTCATATATTTATAGTCAATAATAGTGGTAAGTGATCTTTTCAGCTTTCTTCTACTAGGTGAGTAAATAATACAGGCCTAGGAACATCAGCTGTACAAAGTCATCAATAATATAGATGCTAACACTTTCTTGGGGGAGATGAGTCTTTCGACTAAATTTTTCGAATGCTAATAAAGGCTGTTTATTAGAATAGCCATTCAAGATTCTAAAGTACATATAAACTCCTTAGCCAAAGTATAGATGTGGTCTTGATCTTAGGATTTTACTGAACTCTGAAGAATGGTCAACAGTTCTAGTGTTTTGGCTTTTTTTTTTTTTAAGGCGAGGCAACCCTTAGTTGACCTCACAGATTGCAAGGACTTCGTCAGCTTACAATCCCTTATTTTTTTATTTTTTATGCCTACAGCACCTGGTCTTCCTAGGTGGTCTCCCATCCCAGTATTAACCAGGCCCTACCCTGCTTAGCTTCCGAGATCAGACGGAATTGGGCTTGTTCAGGGTGGCATGGTCGTAGACTAATGTTTTGGCTTTTATATAGCAAGAGAATTAATAGTATATCAAAAAAAGATTACAGATATTTAGAGAGAAGAAATAGATTAGTGGTTGCTTAGGTCTGGGGTGGTTAGGGAGCCATAGCTAAAGAGTATAGGATTTCTTTTTGAGGTGATGAAAACTTTCTAAAATTGACTGGTAATGGTTGCACATTGCACATATCTGTGAATATACTTAAAACTATTAAATTCACTTAACTGGATGGATTATATGTTATATGAATTATATCTCAATAAATCTGTTAAAACATAGTATCTGACCCAGACATATTGTAATTAGACTATTCGCAGATTCTTTTAGCTGCCAGCAGGACAAAGTAGTGTTCTCAGATGTCTGAAACACGTTTAGAGGGATAGAGATAAAAGGATTTAGAGTATCCGACCCTATTCTCAGCTCTACACTAATAATCTCAGTCCAAATTATAGTTGAAATGATAGAATGTCTTTCTCTGAATACAAAGAGCCACAAGTTCCAGAATCTGCCTCTTCGCTGTTTCTGGTATCCGTGGTTATATACTAGACAACAGCATAACACCGCTAACGGAGGAATCTTTGATAACTTGGAGAGTAATTTTTTTCTTATAATTATTCTCTTCACTGCTTGCTCCCATTACTAAGTAAACACTGTTTCCCATAAAAGCAGAGTTATCTTTATTTGCCACTCTTACTTTCTTCTGCTGTAGTCCTTAATCTAGAGTATTAAGCAAACAGTCATTTCCTCCACATTTAAGAATGTGTCTAGTTTACACACCGATTTATCAAATCACTTCTCCAGTAAACTTAAAATCATTATATCTTTGGGCATCCTAATTATCTCATGTATCACAGCTGTATAGAAGGTTCTCTTCAAGCTGCCTGCCATCCCTGGAATTCGAAACAGATCAACTGTTTTCCCTTGTGTTCATGGAGTATGTTCAAGATTCACCACTGGGTTTGAGCACATTACCAGGATTTGCTGGGTTCCCACTAAAGTAGTCTCTTTGCCTTTTCTTGTGTTTCCTTTTTGATTTTCTGTTTTTTAAAAAAAGTAATCTATAAAACTTCAGACTGTATTTACCCTTTCTTTCAGTCATAAAGAAACTCCTATTACTATAATACCAAATTATTTTAGATGCTTTGTTTTGACCTTCCATATTTCTTAAAGAATTTGAATTTTTTTCTTGGTACACTTAAAACTTAAAATCCTTCTTTGGAACCAATAAAATTATTTTATGTATTATTTTCTTTACAAATCAAATTTAGCAGTGAATTTGTAACATGTTAAAAATCACTATTTTTCTATAAATATAAAAAGGCTTTTTTGAAGTAAAGACAATTCTGTTTTATAGTTTTCAAGCATGTGTAATAATTTAGAGAAAGGATTCAGCCTAAAATAGGCCCTAATTAGATTTCTACAAATTCTGCCTAATTACCTACACTCCTACCTTATATAATAACTATTCTTAAAACAAAACAAAACACTTTTCTCAGTAGGATTTTACTAAGAAACCCTTTTAGCAAGAAACTCAGAAATGACTGCTCCAGCAGTTGAATCCTCCGATGTTTTTACAAAGTTTGCCTTTTAATATTTTACATAATTGTGGATATAAAAGAATAGTTTGGTGGTTTTCAAAATTGTTCCATATCATTTTAACTTAAAAAAACGTAGGCAACTTACTGAACTCCTATAGGCTGTCTCCATTGGGTTTCTGCGGTTTAGGAGACCCCGCCAGGCCAGTGCATGCTGGTACGTCATACTGATCAGCAGCCAGCTATCCATGGCAAGAATTGACCACCTCGTGGGATCTAAAATTTAAAGGGGGAAAAGTGAGTTCTGAATTGCTGATGTGCTGACTGCCCCATTTTGCTTGGGAATTAGAGGGCATTTAGGACCAGTTTCTGCGGTCATTGGAATGTGGTTAAAATTCCTTTGCAAGTGGAAGTCTGGTGATGATATTACTAACACTGATACTAACATTTAATTTAAGCATCAAAGAAAATTGCTGTTGTGGCTTTACATTTAGAACTCTTAGAGGTTGAAATTTTTCGCAGAAAGACTTGTTTGGGAAATTGTAATATTTATCTGTTGTGTTTAGAGAAATATTCCAGATAGAACTACAAGGCTGTTGTGCTGCATGCAGACTTCATTGAAACGTCTCTATTTTGCCATTATGCCCCACTCAGCAACACTGATAGTTTTAAAGCATTTGCTTCTTTCAACTAGAAAAACAGAGGGTCACACTTAACCAAAAGTTGATGGCAACGCGGTCATTGTTTCCATTAAGCCAGAAAGCATGTTAAATAATTGAGTGTTTGCTTATTTGCAGCTGGCAGCCAGAGAGACAGATTCCGTTCCATGATGTGAGATTCCCACCACCTGTAGGCTATAATAAAGATATAAATGAAAGTGACGAAGTTGAGGTAAGTTTCCGGTGCCATCAAATTATCAAGCACTGAAGGAGTGGGGCATTTAATTGGCCTATGCCTTTTGTACTCCGTCATTAACACTGTTTAAACTACCTTGAGAATTTTAGCTGTGATGGACATGTGCTTTTGACTGATCCTCCTTAATGGCGATTTTGAAATAATGCATGATGTCCGAATGTGGCTGGCTGAGCAGCACTTAAGGCACATTTTTTAAAGTCACCACTGATTTCCTTTGCCCAGTGAGACTGCTTTTCCCACTCCCCTCAATTTCTTAATCTTCGGCTTAGGAAACTTGGTTTTAGAAAGTTTCTAAACCATTATCCTAGAATTTCCTTACATAGCAGTAAATCCTCCTGGTATATTATTTAAAAGCCATCTGTGAGTTTTAGTATATACACGTATAAGTAAAACATCTTGTCACAGGATGTGTTCATGGTGAACCACTTGCTCATGTGCCATTAATGGTTTTGACCAAGGGCTACTATGGAGATGTAGCAATTAACAAACATTGTGTTTGTGATTGCTCTAGCCACTGAAAACTTTGGGGGGACTTGAGGCACTTGTAATCGACTTTATGTTGTAGATGCTTTGTGTACTAGCTTCCCCGTCCTTCCCTTTCAATACACTTCATTTTAAGCTTCTCTTCTTTCTCTGTAATGCCTTGTTAGTAGTTTCAACTCCATGAACATTTGTGGCATGCGGAAAGCAGCTAAGTAGACATTTGTACAGGTAAGGTAAAGCGTACTAGGTCTTTGATTTCTTATTTTCTGTGCTTCGTACAGATGGTGAAGTGAAACAAAAGAGGCTGCTGCCTTAGATGAGGTTACATTCTAGTGAAGATAGCCAAAATGGCAGGTGTAAGTGTTAGGAAGAAAAAAAAGTAAGAGGATGGAGGGGACCTTGGAGCAGTAGTGCTGTTTGAGAGAGTGCTTAGGGAAGGTCTCTGGATGTCCCGGCCTGTGTTCTTTCCTCTACAGTTTTAAAGTAGAAACAATAAAGTACTATTTATTTACCAAAAATATACTAGGTACCTACAAGGTGTAAGGAACTGAGTTTGGTTTTATGAGGGGTCTCAGTAGGCAACACAAACACATTCTCCTTGAGCACCATCAGCTACTAATTCTCCCAGGAGACTGTAAGCTTTCTGAAGACAAGGACTTGGTCTTTTGGTGTGTCTATATCAAGAGTGTTCATAATAGAGTTTGGATGGGTAAAGGGGACTTTTTTTTTATTTGATCCAAATGAGAGGCGGTGACCAATGATATGCTACGGTGACCTCGCTGTATCACCTAACAGTAATATATAACTGAGATTATTGCCATGGCTAGAGCACAGTTGAAAGGGATCTATGGTGGCAAGAGGAAAAGGTAGGTTAAATTCAGTTATATTGAGTCACTATTGTATAACCACTAAATTTAAGTATAAAAGGGAGGCAAGGTACCGTGTCTTTTGTTCTCTTTGTATCAGGAATGTTCAAATAGGGTTTGAATGGTTAAAGGAAACTTTTTTTTCAGTTGAGTCACATGACAGGTATATACCAATGAGATGCTAGTCCTAAGGTGACCTCACAGTATTACCTACCTAACAATAGTATACAACTGAGCTTATTGCTCTGGCTAGAGCAGAGTTCAAATGGGCTTAAGGATGCTAAGAGGTGAAGGTAGATTAAATCTGTATTTAGTCTCTGTATTGTGTAACCATCAAAATAGGTTATGAAAGGGAGGCAAGATACCTAGTCTTTTGGTCTGTTTGTATCAGGAAAGTTCATAATAGGCTTTGAATGGATAAACAGGCCTTTCTTTTTCAACTCTGTCTCATGTAGTGACCAATGAGACACTCTTCCTGGGGGCTTCACAGGGAATTGCCCAACAGTAGTACATAACTGAGCTTATTGTTGTGGCTAGAGCAGAGTTGAAAGGGACTGATGGTGGTAGGTGGTGAAAGTAGGTTAAATGAAGTTGCATTTAATCCTGTATTGCATAACCATTAACTTGGATTATAAAAAGGAGGCTAGAGTTGAAAGGGATTGATGGTGATAGGTGGTTAAGGTAGGTTAATTGATGTTGTATTGAGACACTGTATTGTATAACCATTAACTTGGGTTAAACAAGGAGGCAGGACACCAGGTCTTTTGGTCTGTATCAGGAATGTTCCTATAGGTTCTTGAATGATTACTGGGACTTTTATTTTCAATTGTGTCACATGATAGGTATGGACAAATGAGATGCTGATCCTAGGGTGACCTCACAGTATTGCCTAGCAGTAGTCCATAACTGAGCTTATTGCTGTGTCTGTAGCGAGTTGAAAGAGACTAGTGGTGGTAGGTGCTTAAGGTGCGTTAAATGAAGTTGTATTGAGTCACTGTATTGTATAACCGTTAACTTGGGTTATAAAAAGAAGGCCGTACTCAGGTTTTTCGTCTGTCCATATGAGGAATGTTCCTAATAGGTTTTGAATGTTTAAAGGGGACTTTAATTTTCAGTTGTGTCACATGACACATGTGGACCAATGAGATGCTGATCCTAGGGTGACCTCACAGTATTGCCTAGCAATAGTACATAACTGAGCTTACTGCTGTGTCTAGGGTAGAATTGAAAAGGACTGTTGGTGGTAGGTGGTTAAGGTACGTTAAATGAAGTTGTATTCAGTAACTGAATTCTATAACCGTTAACTTGGCTTATAAAAAGAAGGTCGGACTCAGGTTTTTCGGTCTGTCCATATGAGGAATGTTCCTAATAGGTTTTCAGTGTTTAAAGGGGACTTTAATTTTCAATTCCGTCACATGACGTGAGTGGACCAATGAGATGCTGATCCTAGGGTGACCTCACAGTATTGATTACCAGTAGTAATAACGGAGCTTATTGCAGTGGCTCGAGCAGAGTTGAAAGGCACTGGCGGTGGTAGGTGGTTAAAGTAGGTTAAATGAACTTGCATTGAGTCACTGTATTGTATAACCGTTAACTTGATTTATAAAAAGCCTGCAGGACGCCAAGTCTTTTGCTCCGTCTGTATCATGAATGTTCCTAATAGATTTTTTGAATGCTTAAAGGGGACTTTTATTTTCAATTGTGTCACATGACATGTGTGGACCAATGAGATGCTGATCCTAGGGTGATCTCACAGTATTGCCTAGCAGTAGTCCATAACTGAGCTTACTGCTGTGGCTAGGACAGAATTGAAAGGGACTGATGGTGGTAGGTGGTTAAGGTAGGTTAAATAAAGTTGCATTGAGTCACCATATTGTACAACGGTTACGTAGGCAGGACGGCAGGTCTTTTGGTCTGTATCAGGAATGTTCCTAATAGGTTTTTGAATGGATAAAGGGACTTTTATTTTTAATTGTGTCACATGACAGGAGTGGACGAATGAGCTTCTGATCCTAGGGTGACCTCACAGTATTGCCTAGCAATAGTACATAACTGAGCTTACTGTTTTGGCTAGAGCAGAATTGAAAGGGACTGTTGGTGGTAGGTGGTTAAGGTACGTTAAATGAAGTTGTATTGAGTCACTGAATTCTATAACCGTTAACTTGGGTTATAAAAAGAAGGCTGGACTCAGGTTTTTTGGTCTGTCCATATGAGGAATGTTCCTAACAGGTTTTGAATGTTTAAAGCAGACTTTAATTTTCAATTCTGAACATGACGTATGTGAACCAATGAGATGCTGATCGTAGGGCGACCTCACATTATTGATTAGCAGTAGTAATAACAGCTTATTGCAGTGGCTAGAGCAGAGTTGAAAGGGACTGATGGTGGTAGGTGGTTAAAGTAGGTTAAATGTAGTTACATTGAGTCACTGTATTATATAACCGTTAACTTGGGTTATATAAAGGAGGCCACACTCAGGTTTTTTGGTCTGTTCGTATGAGAAATGTTCCTAATAAGTATTGAATGTTTAAAAGGGACTATTAATTTCATTTGTGTCACAAGCCAGGAGTGGACCAATGAGATGCTGATCCTAGGGTGACCTCACAGTATTGCCTAGCAGTAGTCCATAACTGAGCTTACCGCTGTGTCTAGGGCAGAGGTGAAAGGGACTGATGGTTGTAGGTGGTTAAGGTAGGTTAAATGAAGTTGCATTGAGTCAGTGTGTTGTATAACCGTTAAGTTGGGTTATAAAAAGGAGGCAAGACACCAAATCTTAATCTCTCTATATCATGAATGTTCCTAATAGGTTTTGAATGCTTAAAGGGGACTTTTATTTTCAATTGTATCACATGACACGTGTGGACCAATGAGATGCTAATCCTAGGGTGACCTCACAGTATTGCCTAGCAATAGTCCATAACTGAGCTTACCGCTGTGTCTAGGGCAGAGGTGAAAGGGACTGATGGTTGTAGGTGGTTAAAGTAGGTTGAATGAAGTTGTATTGAGTCACTGTATTGTGTTACCGCTAACTTCATTCATAAAAAGGAGGCAGAACGCCAGGTCTTTTGGTGTGTATCAGTAATGTTTCTAATAGGTCTTGAATGCTTAAAGGGGACTTTTATTTTCAGTTGTGTCACATGACATGTGTGGGCCAATGAGACGCTGATCCTAGGGTGACCTCACAATATTGCCTAGCAGTAGTCCATAACTGAGCTTAATGCTGTGGCTAGGGCAGAATTGAAAGGGACTGGTGTTGGTAGGTGGTTAAGGTAGGTTATATGAGGTTGCATTGAGTCACTGTATTGTGTAACCGTTAAGTTGGGTTACAAAATGGAGGCAGGACACCAAATCTTTTGGTCTGTCTATATCATGAATGTTCCTAATAGGTTTTGAATGCTTAAAGGGGACTTTTATTTTCAGTTGTGTCACATGACATGTGTGGACCAATGAGATTCTGATCCTAGGGTGACCTCATAGTATTTCCTAGCAATAGTAAATAGCCGAGCTTACTGCTGTGGCTAGAGCATAGTTGAAAGGGACTGGCAGTGGTAGGTGGTTAAGATACATTAAATGAAGTTGTATTGAGTGACTGAATTCTATAACTGTTATCTTGGATTATAAAAAGAAGGTTCGACTCAGGTTTTTTGTGCTGTCCGTATGAGGAATGTTCCTAATACGTCTTGAATGTTTAAAGGAGACTATTATTTTCAGTTGTGTCACATGTCAGGAGTGGACCAATGAGATGCTGATCCTTTGGTGACCTCACAGTAGTATATAACTGAGCTTATTGCTGTGGTGATAGTGAGTTGAAAGGGACTGGCAGTGGCAGGTTGTTAAGGTAGGTTAAATGAAGTCATATTGAGTCACTGTATTGGATAACTGTTAACGTGATTTATAAAAAGGCGGCTGAACACCAAGTCTTTTGGTCTGTTTGTCTGTATCATGAATGTTCCTAATAAGTTTTTTGAATGCTTAAAGGGGACTTTTATTTTCAATTGTGTCACATGACACATGTGGACCAATGAGATGCTGATCCTAGGGTGACCTCACAGTATTGCCTAGCAGTAGTACAAAACTAGGCTTATTGCTGTGGCTATTGCGAGTTTAAAGGGACTGATGGTGGTGGGAGGGAAAGGTAGATTAATTGAAGTTGTATTGTGTTATTGTATTGTATAACCGTTAACTTAGGTTATAAAAGGGAGGAAGGACAGCAGGTCTTTTGGTCTGTATGTGTTAGGAATGCTCATAATCGTGATGTGGATAATGAGAACTTTTTTCCCAAATTAGTCACATGACAGGTGGGGACCAATAAGATCCTGTTACTATGATGGCCTAATTGTAGTAGATAATAATTACCAGGTTATTTCTCTGCTTATAGCAGAGTTAATAGGAAGTTATTGGGGCAAGTGTGAAAGGCAGGTGGTATCTAGTTATATTTAGTCACTGTATTATATAACCAGTAATTTCAGTTGTAAAAGGGATATGTGTATACCTGTGTTATTTTCTTATTAACCTGGATCTGCTAGTGTCTTCATAAAAGGTTCCATGCTGTACATCGTAAGTCAACTTTGAAGTGGTCTCGAGAGAAATTGTTTAGAAGAACTGATCCACAGTGTATGAGAGCAGGAAGGTGGTGTCCAGAGGTTTGCCAGTGTGGAGCTGTACATTTTAGTGGAGAGGGGACAGAGGACCAGAGAGTAACCAATGATGTGTCCCCCTAGTCTCTGGAGACATAATGCTGGAGTGGTATTCTTAGTTGGCTGAGTGATCAATGACTACCCATTTAAATGGCCACGCAGCCAAGCAGTAGTTCAGTCATTTGCCAATTAGAATAAAACGAAAAGAAGTTTGTTTCCGTGTCGTTAGGTACATTTTTTTAGCTCTCCGAGTACCCAAGAAAAGTATGCCAAGGTTTATGCACAGTCAGCTTTTCTTGAGCATTCATGTTCAGAGTACTATTTATTTCTGAAGTAGAAGAGAGAAATAGGAAAACACTTTTTACAGGGCTCTCCCGGGTAATCAGGTAGTTTCTAATTATGTTTCTGTGTCTCACTGTAGGGTACAATCTGATTCAAGGACACAACATATGGGTTTGAAAGACACCTAGGGTCATTTTAAGAAAAATTCCTCAATGTCTGATAATCTGTAGATTTCTGAATGATATTAATCGTGAAATGTTCTGTTGTAATTTTTATGTAGGTTTATTCCAGAGCCAATGAGAAAGAACCTTGCTGTTGGTGGTTAGCAAAAGTGAGGATGATAAAGGGTGAGGTAAGAAAATGCATTTTTAAACTTTTTTTTTATTTCTCTTTTCTAAACCCAGCTACTACATTTCAATCTGCATTTCTATTTTAAAGTGATAGCTAACTTAAGACATTTCATTAAAAGATTTTCTCTACGTGTTCAGTATGTTCATGTGTTTCAGTAATAGTTGATCAAATACAGTTTTTTTCCCTCTAGAGAATTTAAAAATAACTGAATAGGCATAGTTTATTGCTCTTACTTTAAACACTTTGACCAGGGATGACTTTGGTTTATTTTTCTCAGTTTTACGTGATAGAATATGCAGCTTGTGATGCTACCTACAATGAAATCGTCACAATTGAACGTCTACGGTCAGTTAATCCCAACAAACCTGCCACAAAAGATACTTTCCATAAAATCAAACTGGACGTGCCAGAAGATTTACGACAAATGTAAGTTGGTATGCAAGAAATGCCGAGAACTTACAGATGATATGCAGTTTAAAGGAACATAAATTTTAAAATAATAGAAATGAGTTTTTAAATTCAGTGAGAATGGTTTGCAAAAGTAGTGAAGAAAAAACATATTTAGCTTTTCCAGTTATAAAATTAAGCCCACACTACACTTGTTTAAATTTACTTGGCTAGATACATAGCTAATACACATTTGTTTTCTAAAATAAACTAAAATAAACAATACAGGTTTTTGTCATAAGTCACAAATCAAATTGTAGACCATGAAGTTTACTCGAGGTTTCTTCCATTTTAGCCAATATTTTCAGATAAGTATACTAAGTAGAACAAAAGAAGCTTCAAAAGGTCATCTCTGTCTTGCAGACCTTGATCAGGGGTAATGCTTGAAGACTTTTTAGATACAGGCTTCCTTTTTAAAGATTTCATTGAGATGTGGTATGTTTGATTTGGACATGTTGCACTTTAGATAAACATTAACTTACAATTCAAAATACATAGGAATCCTTTTTGATTGTAGAGATTGCCTAGGCACGTACATTTTTGTACCTCCTGATTCATTTATATTTCCTTCTCTCCCTTAAATTGGTCAGCAGTTTTTCTTTAGAAAAGAAACAAAACAAAGCCAGGTACCCTGTAGCTATCCCCAAAAGCTTTCAACAGTTGACTCAAGAAAATTACTGACTTATACATCACTGAAATGGGGAAACCTACAGAGGAGCATACCCCACCCCACCCCCCCGCCGCCACATATGTCACCTTTGGTGATCCAAGACCATCCGTAATCCCTTAAGAGCATAACTTTTTTTTTTCCTTTCTCTATAATTTCAATTGCTTGTTGGGCTGAGTATTTCAGAGATGTACAGCAAAGGAACTAAACTTTTAAATGGGTATAGCATGTTTTGCATAAATCAAGTTTAATATAAATCCACGATTCTAAGTGCAAATCTCTCTGCATATATTTATGCCAGTAGTTGGTAATCATTCATCTTAACTTCACAATGGATATTTATTTCTAGGTGTGCCAAAGAATCGGCACATAAGGACTTTAAAAAGGCAGTTGGCGCCTTTTCTGTAACTTACGATCCAGAAAATTACCAGCTTGTCATTTTGGTGAGTGTTCTTGAGTTGTCTGTTTTGGTGTATTTCATTTGGGGCATTTGCTTTGATAATAATGGTGTTAATTTATACCTTTTAGTCTATCAATGAAGTCACCTCAAAGCGAGCACACATGCTGATTGACATGCACTTTCGGAGTCTGCGCACTAAGCTGTCCCTGATACTGAGAAATGAAGAAGCCAGTAAGCAGCTAGAGGTATGTGGCTTTCCCTAGTGCTGCTTATCAAGCTGTCCAGAAACTATAACTGCTTGTTAACAATACGTGACTATGGACAAGTTATTCTTTATTTACCGTTTCCTAGCAATTCCTCGTATTCTACATTTTAAAAAATTAAGTTGTACAAAGCATAATCATGCTAAAGTTTTTGTGCCTGAGGCCTTAGAATTAAGCAGCAGTTATGTATAATTAAGGAACTGCTGGTCAACTCACTCTTACTAGAGGTTTGTCAAAGCTGCTAATAAAATGAGGCAATGCTTCTTCCATATAACATATTATCATTAAAGTACTAGAGAGTATTTAAGTACCTAATCATATTCCTTTCATTATGTATGTTTATCTCTGTTTAAAAGGATATAGAACTTCATTCTAATTGGTTGTCACTCTTTAAAACTCCTGTCTTCAGATTCCTGCCAGAGGCTATTTCCCTAACTTACTATTTCGTCTCTTAAGGTGCATTTTATCTACTTTTATTAATCCTCCAATAATTTTCATCACCATACATTTGTTTTCATTGATAACTATCTAGTACTTCATCCATTACCATAGAAACTAAACGGATTTGAGATTAATGTGCCAACTGAAGTATAGTACTATCAGATTCCAGAGTTCTTCATCATTATTCATTTCATTCAAGAGAAAACACAATGCAATTGAAATAGTAAAGAAAAAAAGGAATTCCAAACTGCATTTCAAGAGAGAAGGTAGTCAGGGCTGTATTGCTGTAAAACCCTGTGAAACTGGCCGCCTTCCAACTTGATGTATGAATGCTGAACTCTTAGCAGAAGAGACATCGCTATCTCCTTTTGCTGCTTTGTTTTCCTTATGGCCATGGAGGTCTGTTGAATTGGTTTTTATTCTCATTGTTTCTTGATGTCCCTGTGTTCACGAGTTTATGGTTTCCTTAGTGATTCTCTCATAACTTTTAGGCCAGAACGGCCTCCTTACTTTCACTGTGAGTATTATGGGAATATACTCATATGCCTCTTCTCAAACATCTAATTCTTAAATGATCTGTTGTCATGCCTTTGCTTTATCATTTATCAGTGAATTATCAGTGAAAAGAATGAACCAGGTGAATGAATCAGGACTCAAAAAACATCGCTTCTTGAAAAGTCCTAGGAATATTTGATACATTTTGTTACTCTAATCTACAAAAAGAGTATTATACTTTTAAATTGTTTACAGTAATTACACTCATTCATTCAAATTATCTGGTATGTTGAATAGCTAGAAACTAGTATGCATGCCTGTCTTTACTCACTACTAATATTAAAGAGCTCCACATACTCAGATAAGAAATTTCCATTTTTCAACATGAATCACTAATATTTTTGGATTTCATTAATGGCATGCTAGAACTAAATATTAAATTGTGATAACACTATTTAAAGAGAGTGACTATCCACAAGTTTTGGGTGTCAGTTTAACTTAGTTCACCCATCACTGAATATTTGAAAGGATCCATCATACTTGTGGATACAGATCACAAGGTCTTACAGACTCTGGTCTCATTTTAGGTTGCAGGCGCATATGTAAGATAAGTTGTAAATCTTTGACATTCTGTAATCATTCAGTTTAATTACTGTACCGATGATTTTTATTATTCCTTTCCTCGGCTTGGAGGGGTGGGAGGATGTCATTTTAACATCAAAGGGATGTCTAGACCACAGTATCTAGTGATAAGTTATATAAATGACACTTTCCAGAAAAAAAAGATGATTTATTTATATTTATTTATACACACACACACACACACACACACACACACACACATACTGATATCCTTTAATAAAAATAAAGTGAATACAATTCTGTAGAGATAGCATTTAAATTTCCTTTTAGTTGAAAAACATTGAGTCTGTCAGACCCCGTGAGCTGATTTTTATTTGGGAACATTTGGTCTGCTTCTTAATCACTACATTGCTGATGTCGTTGGTTAACTAAGGCAGCCTTGCAAACAGGTTTTTCAAAAGTTACCTTGGAAAATTATCAACAGGCTCTTTCCTATTAAAATATATCAAATTGCATAGACCTTCATCAATCTAAAAACAACTTATGCTATGGGAGATATTTTCTGAAACCTGTTAGTTTCCAACTGAAACTTAATTTATAGGCCCCTGATATACAGGGTCAAGATAATTTATATGGCTGACCTAAATACAGTTTTCTCAATAGTTGATAAAGCATATTAATCAGACGTGCATTTCTCTTCAGAGTTCAAGGCAGCTTGCCTCACGGTTTCATGAACAATTTATCGTACGAGAAGACCTGATGGGTCTAGCTATTGGTACTCATGGTGCTAATATTCAGCAAGCTAGAAAAGTACCTGGGGTCACTGCTATCGATCTAGATGAAGATACTTGCACATTTCATATTTACGGAGAGGTAAATATTTGACTAAATCTTTTTTTTTTTTTTAAATAAAACCCAGCATTTCAGATGGCTCATTTTTTGTCTTAAATCTTCTTCCCTTTTTTATTAGGACCAGGATGCAGTGAAAAAGGCTAGAAGCTTTCTTGAATTTGCCGAAGATGTCATCCAAGTTCCTAGGAACTTAGTAGGTGAGTCAGAAATTGCTCTTGACACACACAACACAAAAACAAAAGCTGGGCAAATAATTTATACCAACAGAATTTCATTTCAACTCACTCCAGGGGCCATTTAATCAAAGCTTAGTCTTTGAAATATGGTCCGTTGCTAAAGTGTACAGAAAATATTTGGTAAATGTGATACTCAAACATTACATTTCAGAAGGTGTGCGAAAGGTACTGCTTTGCTGATTCAAACCTGCTAGTGCCTGGAAAGAAAATTTGCACAGCCTCTTCATTGTATGTTTTACATATATTAAAATTAAATATTCTTTTTTTCAAAATGAGTGACATTTGGGGGCTTTATAATTTGGAATAGATTGATATAAAATTATAGCATTCCTAATTATCTCAGAGTTGAAGATCTACAAGTAGGTTACTTAAATCTTTTAAGTTTCAAAGCTATAAGTAACTGCAAATGTCTCTGGGGCTTTCAGCAACATCAATGGTAATTTTTTTTTTCCACGCATCTTTCCCACCCCACTCCCCTTTGGCAACCATCAGCTTTGTCTCTGTATCTATGGGTCTGTTTCTGTTTTTTATATTCATTTGGTTTTTTTTTTTTAGATTCCACATATAAGTGAAATCATATGGTATTTGTCTTTGTCTGACTTATTTCACATAGCATAATACCCTCTAGGTTCCTTTATGTTGTGTCCAATGGCCAGATTTCATTCTTTTTAGTGACTAATACTCTGTTCTATATACATATATAGCATATGTTCTTTATCCATTCATCTTTTGATAGACACTTAGGTTTCTCCTATATCTTAGCTTTTGTAAATAATGGTGCATATATCTTTTCAAATCCAGTGTTTTGGATTTCTTTGGGTAAATACCCAGAACTTGGATTGCTGGGTCATAAAGTAGTTCTATTGTTAATTTTTTGAGGACTCTCCACACTGTTTTCCATAGTGGTGCACCAATAAAATGTAGATTCCTAGAATCAGTAGTTCTTATATTTGTAATGTCTCACTTTACATTAATGCATGATGAAGACTCTGAAAGCTGTCATTTCCCGGTTAATTAAATGACTGAATCTTAGAGGAAGAATTGAGCACCTGTTCATTACTGGTATTGGAAGTCTTTGGAGTTTTAATGGATGTTGTTGAATAATACTTAAACTGGTTTTGAAAAGTAATTAAAGATTTTGCAAAGTTCAAATGCTAAAAGGTCAAAAATGGGCATTTTTAATTTTTTTTATTAAAAATTATTGGGATGACATTGATTGACAAAATCCAATAAGCAAGTGGTTTCGAGTTATTTTAAAGTGTGATTTCTTAATCTTTTACTCTGTGACTTATCCCTTCACATTTTAATATACTGATATAATTGGTGAGGAATGCACTGGAGTAATATTCTGTTAACACATTGTCTTGAAGAATGTGCTTTTCTTTTAGATGGATGTAAAGCTGTTTAAGCCACTTGAAAACTTAGAGTATCTTTTATTATAAAGATGCCATATAAAATTCTAAAAATACAGCCATGCCTTGCATAATGACATTTCAGTCAACAACAGACTGCATATATGAAGGTGATTGCATAAGATTATAACAGAGCTGAAAAATTCCTGCGGCCTACTGACGTCATAGCCATCATAACATCACAGCGCAGTACCTTGCTCACATGTTGTGATGCTGGTGTAAACACACCTACTGCACAGCCAATCATAAAAATATAGCACACACAATTATGTACAGTATGTAATACTTGATAATAAATGATGGTTACTGGTTGATGTATTTACTATACTATACTTTTTACTTTTTTTCCTAGGATGTACTCTTTCTACTTATTAAAAAAGAGTTCACTATAAAACAGTATGCTGTGTACAGCAGCAGCCTCATAGCTTCATTTTCCCTCGTGCTTGACTTACTCTCATTGGTTTGTACAGTGACATGATGTACAGGCTTATAGCCTAAGAACAATAGGGTCATATCATGTAGCCTAGGTATGTTGTAGGCTAGACCGTCTAGGCTTGTGTAAGTACACTAATATTCGCACAATGACAAAATCGCCTCGCTACACACTTCCCAGAACTCATCCCCGTTGTTAAGTGGTGCATGGCTGTATTTACCATGGGCGAAGGAACAGATTTAAATGAGGTATGGATAGAATTGAAATTGTCCAATAAATAAGCAAATGAGTTTTCTATTATCTATTCTTTTCCTTAATTTATTTTATGGAACTTTACAGAAAGAGTGGTACGCACCACTGGACTAGCAAGTTTAAAGTGCACTTTTGAGCAGAATAAGAGTCTTTTTTGAACTGCCTTAACAATTCAAAATTATCCAATAAGTTTATGAGTATTAATCAGCTCTAATACCTTACTTACCAAAGGAGTTTTAAACAGTGTTGATCTAATAACATGAAAAGCCAGTTTAACAGTCTTTTTGAAGAGTCTCTGTCTTGGTTTTGAAATTTTATATAAAATAATGCAATAGTTTACAGTGGGGTGTGCTTACTGGCTTGAGGTATGTGTTCATAAAACAACGTGAATTATTCATTTCTTAACTTAGGTAAAGTTATAGGAAAAAATGGAAAACTGATTCAAGAAATTGTGGACAAGTCAGGAGTTGTGAGGGTGAGAATTGAGGCTGAAAACGAGAAAAATGTTCCACAAGAGGAGGTATGTTATAGTGCACATATTTCTGGTTTATCTAATAAAAGTAAAAATTGTTTATTTTAGTTGAAATATTAATTTAGAGGCCTCTGTATTGTGCAAATAATATAGATTTTAAAATTCTGATTACCAGGTATGTCAGTTATAGTTGCAGATAATGGCTTCTGTCTCTTCTCTCATGCTGTGACTTTAGAGAATAATCACCTTAACCCCTTTAAATCTTATTTCTCAGTCTTTAAAATGGATAGTTGTAAACGTAAAAAAAAATGTAAAGCACTTTTCAGATCTGACCTAATGTTAGTAGTGACAGACAAAATTGGGACGCTGCTTGAGTTTTCTGGCTTTCGTCCTTTCGTTTTTTTAGTTTGTATGCATGTGTTTGTGTGCTTTAAATTTTTATCTGCATATAACATCTCTTTCCAGTCTTTAAAATTTATAACCCTCACTTTTATCTTCATGAATATCTACTTTTTGGTAGTGACTTGTAAAGTATTTATGTGGGGTGGGGGAGGTGAGGGTGTGGTCTTCTGGACAATGCTACTATTCAAAATAAAATCCCCCCAAATTGCCATAATTTTCACTTATTGTCTACCCTTCTTTTTTGAAAGGTTCTTTGGGATTTTTACTGCTTGATTTTTGCATTTCATAACTTTGTTTACCAAAACTTTATAGTAATTTATAGTCTTAAAATGTGATCATCGATATGATAATGGAGCTAAATAAAGTCTTAAAATTGGTTCTTTTTCTCTTTTGTGTTTTGTATTTTTTATCAAGGAGATTATGCCACCAAATTCCCTACCTCCCAGTAACTCAAGGATTGGACCTACTCCCTCGGAGGATAAAAAACATATAGATATAAAGGAAAACAGCGCTCATTTTTCTCAACCTAACAGTACAAAAGTCCAGAGGGTAAGATGGGTTTGTCACTTTGAATTACACTAAAAGTAATTTCTTCAACCCAAATGTTACTGTTGGTGTTTCGGGTGTATTCTCTGCTTAGACTTGTAGGCTACTCATGTATTTTTTTTTCAAATATGTTTGCTAACTTATGAGATATTACAAGCCAAAGTGATACTACTTTTCATATTATTCACAGTGACAAATCTTACGGTGTAAACATAAAATACGGGGTTACATTTAATGGTCACATTTTCTCTTTTGAGGGTGGACTTTAATTTTTTCATGCTGTATCTTGAAATTTTGCAGGTTGTAATAGCTCAAAATATACCTTCTGTTAGATGCATTAGTTACTGCTTAAAACCATATTTTAGAAAATGGTTTTCAATATTTGAACTAACCTAACTGTTTAGAAATGGGTTTAGAAGTCCTACAGTGAAAGTCCTGCGTTCAGGCTTCTGTGTATCATTTGTTATAGTTAATGACATCACTTGCATTCCTTATACTGCTTTAGGTGTTAGTGGTTTCATCAATTGTAGCAGGGGAATCCCAGAAACCTGAACTCAAGGCTTGGCAGGTAGGAAATCATTCCTTGAAAAATACATTTTAATTTTATATTTTAATGTTTATTCCCCTTGTTAAGAAACACTACAAATGATCGTCAGGGTTGGAGGCTGGTGGAGTGTTTGTGGGTATGTGGATCCATTGCCTTGGGGGAAAAGCTCAGATTCCTTTCTGTTGTTTCAAAGGCCTTACTTTCATGGTCACCTGTCCAGTATCATCTGTCACAATTCCTCCTCCTTGCACTCTAGAGAGGCTTGAGCCATGCCGAAGTTCTCTGAACAGTGTCATGTCCTCTGTTGCTTCTGGACAGACGTGCGCGTTTTGTCTGCCTAGAGCGCCCTTCCTCCTGCCCCCTTGAACTCTGCGTGCGGCTTTCCGTGTGTCCTTGCCACAGGTCCCATCCCCTGACTGGCCCAAGAGCCTTTGCCCCTTCTGTGCTCCAGTGTGCTCACCCTATCACAGCACTCACAACACTGACGTTTACTTGTCGCTCTCAGCTCCATCATGTTCCTTGAGCACAGGGACCCCCACGTGGCCCGGGAGAAGTGTTTATGGGTAAAATGTCATGATTCAAAAGAGATACTCAGCAAACATGCCGTTTTATAAAGAGAATTGTAACTTCAAGTGGATCGGGGATTCTTCTCTGCTAGACAACCCGGTCCTCTCAGAACAGGGGATCACTTTTCTCTGGGTGTCCATGTAGAAGGCCACCATTCCACTCTCACTGTTTTTCATTTTGATTGACTATTCTGGTCCACTAGCGATGTGCTTAAATTAGAGTGACACCAGAGTACGTGTTGAAAGAGAAAATTTGTTAAAATGATTTGTCCCAAAGTTGATCAAACTAAATCTGTGACATAGGGTTTCAAAGCTTATTGTGGTCGAGTGTGATCTAGAGGGAAGGGCATAGCACTTAATAATATGACATTTTAGATAATAATAGGGGTTAACTGCTTTGTAACAGAGTCAGTTGGGGGAAAAACCCAATAATCAGAAATGTTTTTGAGAAAAAGATCTGATTCATAGGCCTGATTATCTCCATAGTTCATATATTATTCGATGCAAAAAAAATTCCATACGAAGCCCATGGGTTTTCCTTGGCGCCTGATGCTTCAGGCGCTCATCACAACTACTAGGAAGCAGTGCCTTGCCTACCAGATGAAGGTCAGTCTGCAAGCTGTGTCTCCTAATTGTTCAGTTTTGTTCCCCATTAACAGCCACATTCATGTGGAAGGAAAAAGAAAAAAAACCTGTTCCAGCCCCACATCCGTTTAAGATGCTGTGTACTGAATGCGAGCAAGCAAAAGCAGCCCAGCAGTAGCCACACCTATCAAATGAATGCTCTTTTTAAAAGAGTCATACTTGCTAAAGAGACAGCCTCTAGGCTTCTAACACCTAGAAACTTCCCTAGAAAATTATAATAGATCCACATCAAAGCCATCATATGCTTTTCTTTAGTTACTTGTGAATATCAGTAACCATGTGTATTTCTTCTGCAAAATATCGAACTATTCTCAACTTTGTCATAATTGCCAGCCATTCATTTGCAAAACTGGCCTAGACTTCCCTGTGGTTTGTGACAAGAAATAGATTTTTTTCTCATTTGTACTGATGGGCTGGAGATATAAATTTTTAGCATACTCCCTTTCAAAAGTCTATCCTTAGGTTAAAGCAGTACCATAGAGAGAAGATGAAACTTTCCTTATGATTCATTCAGCCTATTACAGTTTTCAGAGCACATTATCTAAATGTATTGAAATGCTAAATTTTATGCTCATGGATGTGCCAAGTTTTTTTTCCCTCACAGAATAATTGCTGCATTTTAATGTATCCTAATTCCGTTTGTGTTTTTTTGTACTGTTGACTTTGTTAGCACAATTGATTGTTTTACTTTTATAGCCTAGTATTTAATTTTAAATGATTTTTTAAAGAATTTGATCTTGCTAAAACCTGTAGTAGTGAATTAGAGTATTCTAAAGTATTCATTTTGTTTATGCATCTCATGTTAAAGCTTGTATTGTTTCAGATTATGTAATTTGTGACTTTACCAACATTTAATAGCAGTGTTTAAAACATAATAACCTGATACATTTAAGGGGTTTCTCTATTGATCTATCCTTATTCATAGTAGATGTGTAAAATATACCAACTACTTTTGTTTTTATGTATTGATTTATATTTTCAACAAACATCTGTGTACCTACTGTTTTGTCAGACCCTGTCATTATTTAGTCACTTTTTCAGATTAATCCATCATTAATATTATAAGATCATTGTTACCATTTCTTTTTCAGGGTATGGTACCATTTGTTTTTGTGGGAACAAAGGACAGCATCGCTAATGCCACTGTTCTTTTGGATTATCACCTGAACTACTTAAAGGTGAGAACAGGAAGAACTTTAACTTCTGATCCTTTTTGCACTAAAATATAAAGCTTCATAGTAATCTTTCAGCAGTTAAGATTCATTCTGTATATTACAATGAATTACTTGTAAAATGTAATAGGGAAAATACTTATTTTGTTTAGCTTATTATATTTCTACCAAAAACACAAGTCAATTTTCATCATCATTATAAAGTTACGGACTTAGTATCCTAGTACTCAGTAAATTCTTCTATTTTTCAGTATTCTGTTAAACCCTTACACTCAGTTGAGGTAATCCTGTACATAGCCTTTCATTCACTTCATCTTTTCTAGCCTTTGTGAGTTTTTTTCCCAGGCCAAATTTTGCGTCTCTAACATTTGCTTCTGTTGTCCCTTTTATGTTGTTGGTCAAGGAAATCCCAGAGTTTCATGAAGTCTTCTTTTTAAATATTTACCATTTGTATTTTTCTCTATACTCTGTTCTACAAAATAGAAAGGATTTATGTCTTCTTGTAAATGCTCATTTTTGGTTAGCGTTTGTAGCAGTTAGGCCTCCTCTAGATTGCAAACTGGGAAGCAGGAACCCAGAGGCCACAAAGTGTAATAGAGCACAGGACTGGCAGTCTAGCAGTTTGCTTCTAGTCTCTCTTCTGCCATGAACTATTTCTGTGACTTTAGGCAAGTAACTTTTCTAGCCTAGATGCATTTTACGATTTCTTTGGGGCAGAATGTTCTGTGAGTCAATGAAATGGAATCTTACCCATGTCACTTTTGTAATTTCTTCTTTATATCCATATCCAAAATTATAATGTAATTGGTACTAAATAATATTTTAAAACAGCCCAACTCTATTTATGATGCTATCTTAAGAATTTTTTTGCTGCTATCTTAAATGAAATTAAACAATTTCTTGTATCCAAACAGTTCAATAGCTAGACGTGTCATTCATTCTTATGGCAGTTAGTTAATAACTGAAAGTGGGAAAGTTTTATCCAGCAAGGCTTGCCTGGGTAGGATACCCCACTGATTCGCTTATTTGTTTTTGTTTTAAAGTCTGTTTTTTTGTGTACTCTGTTATATGTGTTTTCCTTCATATTCTTCGCTTAAATTAATTATGAAGACCTGGAGTGTTAGGGTTGCATTGTATCAATCCCTTGATCTTTTGACTGATGTTCTTTCTTAGATCTTTTGATTTATTCTTCACAATTGAATATCTTTTTTTGGTTATCAGCAGCTATCCTGTTGTCATTCTTTCTATCATCAGATCTTCTCTAGATTGGGCCTGGCATCTCTCACCAAAAGGTGACTGCTTTGCCCCAGCAAGATTACCTGGACTACGATTCTGTTTTGCTAGATATACCCATTCCATGAACTATAACTATACTTTCGGAGTAAGCCACTCACTCAGCAGCATTCTCTCCTTTGCTCAAGTCCTTTGTAAAACAAAGTCTAGTTCAAAGCACAGATCAGAACTCACCTAGATCCTCACCTGCCCTTTCTTTTCCAGAAACTGCCACAACCAAAATGTTAGGAACTTAGCTTTTCAGGGGCTTCTCCAGTGACTGATCGTGTAGACAGTCCGGATGGCCTCTGCTTGACTGAGATACCTAGTACTACTATAGTTATGGATCCAGCTCCCTATAGCCTGTAAATGAGAACCTTCATATGTATTTGGCAGAACCCAACATACTGAAAGTACTGTGTGTAAGGGTCTGTCAGTGGACCCCAGGTGTATATTTTGATCAACTGAATTGATACTATTTGTCATACTTGTTCTAGCAGAGTTCCAGTCTTTAAGAGGTTTTCAAGGCTTGATGTAAGACCTAACTTTTTTGGTCAGCTATTAAATAGTTTTCTCCCCTTGGAATATGAGTGTTTTAACTTCAGTGAAAATAACTGTTCCTTAATTGTATAATCACATCCAAAGACGTACTGTACTATATGTTCTTTGAAAACAGAAGAGGGCCCAAAGTCAATGCTTTGTAAATTAAGATATTAACTGGCAAATCTATTTCAATTCCTATTATTTACTATGTGTGATTTTCAGAGTTATCTGGTTAAACCTTAAATGTCAATTTTCTGCATTTATACATTTTAGAATTGTTTTATTCAATATCCTATCATCAAGAAGTCCCAATACTAGCATATCTCTGCCTTGGCAGATTCCTTCAGATAATAGTACCAAATCAAACAACTTTAAATTCTACTGATGCTGAGTATTTTTGTTATATCTCTAATTCTGGACATCCATAATCTGTTATCTATAGTAACTTTCTTGTTAAGGAGATCATTCGGTTTCCTGATAATTCTGTGTAACAGTGTTTACTGTAAATTTAGAACTGAAATTGAAATATTTCCAGTGTACTTTTGATCTGATGAAAAGGAGAAAGGTGTTATTAAGTAAAATGTCAAATTATTTTTACTGTTATCTTGTATATTTTAAATAGGAAGTAGACCAGTTGCGTTTGGAGAGATTACAAATTGATGAGCAGTTGCGACAGATTGGAGCTAGTTCTAGACCACCACCAAATCGTACAGATAAGGAAAAAGGCTATGTGACTGATGATGGTCAAGGAATGGGTCGAGGTAGTAGACCTTACAGAAATAGGGGGCACGGCAGACGCGGTCCTGGATATACTTCAGGTACAAACTAAGCATTTTACTCAGTAACTTTATCTGTTCCTAGACTTAATAGCTGCTAATCTCTAATATTCATTAGAACCTCATTATAACAATTTCTCACTACAGTGGGTCAAATGGTGTTGCAAGAGACATACAGAGTAAAAACCTAATAATAATAACACGTAGAGGTCACAGGGCCGGTGTGAGTTCTGTCCGCTTTCTGACTGGGGATAAATCTGCTTAAGCCCTTGTGTGTTGATGACTTTCTTAAGGCCTTTCCTGATTTTATTACTGTATAGCCAAAACTTTTTTCATTTGTGTACTGTGGCTCATTTTTTGTCAGGCATGTGCTGGTCATACTTGCTGGATGGACTGTGTAAATCAGGGGTCTGCATCCTGTGGCTGATAAGGTGACTTTGAATGGCATGGCCAAAGTCAGCCCTAGGCACAGTCAAGAAGTAGGCGAAGTTTCTCTTTGCCTCCCCAGCTGTTCTGTCAGTGCTTCTTTCTTCTCTCCCAGTACCTTTCACTGAACGCTGTTTCCACCCGCCCGCGCCTACTGTCTTTCTTGCTCAACTGTGTATCTACTATGTAACGTGCTAATGATGGTATAAGGTATAATCCATCTCACAAATATTTGCATTTCAAAAAGGAACTCTTTAAGATGGAAAAGCCTTCAAGATCCACAGGAGTGAAGCTATAATGGTGAAGCTATAATTGGTCATTAGCTCCAACAGAGGAAGAGAGAGAGGTAGTAGAGTTGATGTCCTGGCCTCGGGAGAGACGCACCTCCTCCTAAGGCCAACCTTGGACCTAACCCCTAACCCCTCTCCCAAAAGTCTGTTATTTTTGCCATCGAAGTCCCACCCCACTATGGAGCTTTTTGCCCCCTACTCCCATCCTTATGTCATTAACCCACCCCTTCAGGCATAACGAGTTCATAAAATAATTCCTTTAGTAAACAATAAATTATTCCAGTGGGAATGGGAGGGAAGACCATGGACCAACCAAGCAATCAGGCAGGCATATCCAATCCCTGATCCCACAAGAGACCCTTCTTACCACCCTCTCAGAGGTGACCAAATGTGTGCATTCTCCTCTGTCCCTTAGCCAAACCTTGTTAAAAAGAACTCTCTTTAAAAGAGATTTTATTTATCAAGGTACCGCATTTAACTATAGACAACTTTTCCTCCAGAGAGCACAGATGTTTAAAGGAGCACAGCTGTTTAATGATGTGGCATACTCAGGTTTGAACTTAGATGGCTAATAAAATACCTTTTATTTTTTTAAAACGAGAACCAAAAATGCATAAAACCAAAATTACCTCAAATATTATAAAACCCTTCATTTTGAATTTAAGATAATTTGTTTTACAAAATGGAAGGTGATAATACTCTTTGGCGGGCTTGGAAATTGGGAAGATTATTGGATTACCCCTGAAACGTCTCTGGAAGCTTCTGTTAACCTAACTTTTTTTTTTTAAGTCGGACAACGGTATATAACTTTTAACTCTCGATAGGAACTAATTCTGAAGCATCAAATGCTTCTGAAACAGAATCTGACCACAGAGACGAACTCAGTGATTGGTCATTAGCTCCAACAGAGGAAGAGAGGGAGAACTTTCTGCGCAGAGGAGACGGGCGGCGGCGCGGAGGCGGAGGAAGAGGACAGGGAGGACGAGGACGTGGAGGTGGCTTCAAAGGTACGGAGGGTTTCCTTTGCTAAAAAATAAAGGCGGATTGTCACAATTGTTCGAAGTTCTGTGAAACATCTTGATGTTTTAATGGCATGTTGCCAAGACCCCATTTCTTCTATTTTGTACTGGTCACCGTAGGAAAGGCTCAGCCTTTCCTTCACATAGTAATTAGTGGAATGTTAAGACAGCCTTCCTTACGGTTCATGTGCAGTATGTGAATAAACATTGATAACTAGTTCAGCTTCTTTGGGGATTCTAAACATCCGATCGTTAGCTCAGATTGACGTGTGACACAGTTGATGCAGAATTGTGATGCCTTTGAAATATTTAATTTCTTGCTAAAAGACTAGATTATTACTCCTTTATGTACCTGGAATCACTAGGTTGTTGATTATATTTTAGATTCTGTGGTTGGTCTAAATAAACAGAGGATATGGGAATAAATAGTTTCCAATAAGCATGTTAGAGTCAGTAACCGTTGACCCTTTTTAAATGTCCTATAGGAAACGATGATCACTCCCGAACAGATAATCGCCCGCGTAATCCGAGAGAGGCTAAAGGAAGAACAGCAGATGGATCCCTCCAGGTAAACTCGTGTACCTCTTGTCATCTAAATTCTTTGGGTTATGGTAGTTTGAGATTTGTGAGTTTATTTTACTTCATTTTTAAACATGGTCAAAGATTGCGAGTTTGACATGTGAAATAATTTCCTTTCAACATTACAGTTGCGGGCAGTCTTAGTCCTTTGTGCAGGTATGCAGAGGTTTCTCTAGAGAGTATTCAATCTAAGTATTTGTGAAGACTTTGAGAGCTACAGTATGGCTTCAATATCTCATTGGTGGTCCCTCTGAATCCCCCAAGAAAAGAATATCTGGGAATGCACTGAGGGAGATCTGCATAAGCCCTGTGGGTCCTTCCTCCCCTGAGTTGCAGGGATAGGTGTCCTTTTTAAGTGGGAAGTAAGGAAAAGGCGGCTTATCTCATGGGTAATAATCTGATACACAAGGCTGATGATACTCAGCCACATCCTG